ACACACACGCACATATGTATATAAAGTTGGCATGGTGCCCTATGAAACCAAAGTGCTTCAACCCTACAAAAGCATGTCTTGACTGAAGCTGGAGACAGAGTACCCTATAGTCCTGGAGGAAGCCATGCTAGACCCCAAAAATAAAATCAGGGTTTTTTTTTGTCCATCTCGAGTAATATCTTTTTGGTACACAAGCCTGGGAATATGGAAGCACACCATACAACTGTTCAACAAAACAAGTTAAGTTTCCTTAGATACACTGACTAAAACAGATAAAATGCCTTGAATGTGTGACAGAAATAGTATTTTAGAAAGTGTTTGCACTCTTTAAATGTCTTCTTGCCTCTCCTCATTTAGACAGCAGCAGCTGCATGTTTGCCTGCCTGCTTTGGCTCTCCTGTAACTACGATCAGCATCAAGGACCGGATAGCACAGCGACAACAGAAAAAGAACTGCAACTTGTTCAAGAGGAGGCCCTGACAAAGCTCCAGGAAAAAGGTGCCCGCTCAGGTCAGACCTCATGTGGACTGCAGGGGGTCCAGCTGAAAGACAGTGTGCTTAGTTGGGGAAGTGAAGTAGAGCTGTTGGTTCGGCTGTGCCATGTGGTTGTTGGACTTGTCAAGCCCAGAGTGCGCTCAAAGTCTAGGAGCTGGCCCATGAAGTTGAAGTTGGGGGAGATGTTGGACTTTTTCATCTTGACGATATCGTAGGCATCGTTCATAGACAGGTTGAGCTTCTGCATCAGGTAGGCCACTGTGACAGTGACGGAGCGACTGATGCCAGCCAAGCAGTGGACCAGGACACCGCACTTCTGTTCCCGAGCCTCATCTGAGACACACAAAAAACAATGAACTTATTACAAAGTACAATGAAATTACATAATACAACTCATGCTATTAAAACTTGATTATATGTTTAATAAAGCACTCTGGTTTATGTGGCTTTGTGGTGTTCAATTATATTTAAAGTTGCTATATTTGCTTGATCAACAGCACAATAAAGTAATATTGCATTTATTTAACAGAGATAAAGGGTCAATCTATAGAAAGGGGTTTTTAAGTGTGCAAATGTTTATTTTTTATTGTTTCAGCCTTGCATCCAGAAAAAAACAGATCCCTGGACAGTAGTTTTTTCTAAAAAAGTTTCTGAGCAAAAAAATCTTGATATGGTCCTGTTGAGTTTTTGTACCGCCAGCCCAAACAAAGCCTAATGAAACATATGTATGTTTGGGTAAGTATGTACGGGATCTGTTTTTTCTGGATGCAAGGCTGAAACAATAAAAAAATGAACATTTGCCTCATTTGCCATTGCCTCATCTGTAATTTGAACTGTTTCCTGTTTTTGGCATATTTTTGTGGCAACATTATAGCACCACTTACAAAAAATATCCCCCAAATCAGTTGGTGTAAGGTATTCTGCCTTTTGATTTTTTTGTAAGATTGATAATTTAAAGAAACACACAAAACAAGAATTTCTGATAAATTTCTGTAGCATTACATACAGTTAAAATGCATTTGGATGTTGAAACAGGTCCAAGGAGGTGAAAATGTGAAGGCTTTAACCTGACCAGCCATGTCAATCAAAAAACAGGAGCTGCTGGATTAAACAGAGTCGACATTCCTCCTCTTTTTTTCTGACTGGAATAGTTGGCTGGGAAATAGACTATTACAGTCTATTAAACTATTCTTCCATCTGACAATGGTGTCATTTTAGCGTGTAAATGTAGGAGTCATGGGGGCATCCTGTCCAGGCAAACAGGATGTCAACAGGATCTGTGAATGGCTCCTTTTGTTCTGTGGAGAGAGGAAGAGAAGGGGAGGGGTTGGCAATGCCATGTCCTAGATTACTTTCAATGCCACTTCCTTCCTGTTTTGCTCAAATTACCAGCCTCCCTTCACTCTGTCTATATCCCCCATTCTCCTGTTTCAATGTCGCCCTTTGTGCTGCAATTACACAAGCTCCAGGCCAGGATGTCTTTCATTGAAGTCAAATCATTTGTACACAGTGCATTTTAGCCAGAGCACCAGCAGAGGCATAGTGCTGTTCCTGCGCCCTAACACAATGGCCTTAATCTGTCCGCTCTGCCTGTCCTCGCCTGACTGACTGATAAGACCACATCTATGGATGCCTCATCTCATCTCAACTGTATAACAACAATCTAAGAACTTCCAGGCACTGATAAGACACATCACAAAGACAAGATTATACCACCTGAATATTTAGTCCTGTCCATCCTCATGCATGCATCTACAGTGAACAATCACATGAGCTTTGTTCTCATTGTAATTCTAGGCTTTCGCTGCTAAGTGTGAAAGATTTTCTTTTTTATTAGCTATGATGAAAATAGTTCTGATAGTCATAAAGGCGAATGCAAACAACCAAACAAAAGTCTGGAATCAAAGTCTGTGGGATGACTTACCAATGAAGCTGCTGGTCTCAGGAAAGAACTGTGAGAGGTTCTGGCTCCAGTGGTCTGAGATGGGGATCTGTTTGTACTTAAACTCGCCAGCCTTCTCAAAGAGGTTGGGCAGATTGGGGGTCACATTGAGGATGTACTTGATGCCGTACTCCTCCAGCACGTCTAGGTTTGTGGAGTCCTTGGCACAGCCAAGGTAGAGGTGTGGCAGGATCTCAACAGGAAAGGAGGGATGTTGGTTGGACAGCGGACTGCAGTCTGAGTCTGTGGTGGTGCTGCTCAGTTCCCAGTCAATGTCTGACTCTATGTCTGATGAGTCCGAGCTAATGCGCAGCCCGCCAAGGCCCGGCATCATTTTAGAGCCATCTAAACTGGTTTCACACAGATTGGGATACTCTGCCTGGAACTTATTGAAGCCTCCTGTCAAAAGAAACCAGGCAGTAATGAATATGAGCAGGACCACAACTCACTGAACTGTGGGATGAAGCATTTTCTTTTCTGAAAATGAACATTCAGAGTAACGTAGAAAACTTAACACATTAAAGCAGGACATCTACAGTATTTGCATTTAATCAAAATAAAAATCGTGGTTTTGAACAAGACATACACTAAATGAGAAACACATTGGGCCTCATGCAAGAACCGTTGGTACACACAGATTTGTTCTTAAGTTGTGCGTACGAGTGATTTAGGAGAATTTGTGACATTCACCAATGTTTTCATATTCTAAGATTTTTTTCAGATACGAACAAAATTCAGGAGTGGTCCAGACCTGTCGTATATTTTACCAGCAGTCAGTCTGCTGTTATCCAGACGGGTTTTCTTCACTAATAACTTTAGATTTCATTTAACCAAAGAAAAACAAGAACAGGACTGGGG